ATGGGCTGATCCTGCTGACACGCACAGCGCTCCCTGAAGCCTTGGACTCATCCGGATGCCGCGTTCCAACACTACTGAGTCATGGACAAACAGAGATGTTTTGCTCAGCCAATAAAAAGGACGTGTTGCTGACATGCAGCTGGTGCAATGGATGGAAGGTCTCTTTAAACATCCCAAATTCTGCTCATTTTCTCAATTCATTAAGCTGCCTGCTCTGAGCGGATGAAATATGGAAACACTCAGATTTGAGCGATCTCAAATGGGTGATAAGGCACAAGTTTAGACAATGAGCGGTGGGAGCTGATGAGCTGCAGGAATCGCTCACAGATCCCACGTATGAAGGGCGAGACTGACTTAAACATGAAACCTGATTTCCCAGTAGGGTGTGAAGAGGGCGGTCAGAAACCTACTCCAGCAATGTGCCCTTGGAGCTGTGATTCGCCATGCAATCTAAAAGCAGAAGGACATCATTGTATGCATCAAGCACGCTCCCCAGAAGCAGCAACCTAGCATGCATCCATGCCAACAGCACAGGAATCCCTTGGTTGGGTTGTTCCACACGAGATCCCTTGCACCTGGACACACAGCTCTGCATCCTGCTTCTCTGAATCTCTGCAGGCATGCGGATGGTGTCCTCCCCCATTCCCACCCCAACAGCCCCACGAAGCGTTCTGTCAATGGCCATCAAAGCAAAAAGCTAACGAAATGATGGTGAAATGATCCTTTGAGATGAAAGGTTGCTTTTCAGCAGGTCAATGGAAACAGATCTTCTCCTCCCCACTCATCCATCTGAGCACACACGTGTGTCAGAACCTGCACAGGCAAGACCAGAGGGTAACACCAGACCCACAGGGAGGGGAGAAGCAAAGTCCTGAGGATCCCTCACTCACTCACCTACAGATGCCCCATAGAACCCAGGGAGACCACCAGCAGCTCCCAGAGCCAACCTCCACCAGTGCCTCCAGCCACAGAATGACTTTCTTTCCCTCCTGCCCATCCCCTGGGGGTGTTTAGATACACAAAAAGAGGATGGTTAAGCCAAGCAGCCTGAGGCACGTCCTGCTGCCATGCAAAGCCCTCACAAAGCAGCTGGTGGAACATGAGTTGGAATGACAACAGCTCCTCCCATTGCATCTCAGTGTCTACATGCTCTGCCTTCACGTGGATGCTTCGTGGGGCTCAAACCCATCAAAGCAAAGGTGGCCTGTGTTCTTCTATGCAAGTGGAGGCTGAGCTCCTTGGCTGAATCTTCCCAACTCTCTGCTCTTCTTCCTGACACAGAATGCCCTTGCTGACATCTATCAGCCACATGGATTTGGTGTGGCTTTACTTTACTTCTCATCTTCCAGCGAAACAAAAGAACACATCCCTTTACTGGGGCAGCTTTTGTCCCAGATCAAACAGGCACTGTTTGATGAACACGCTGCACTCACCCGCCTGGAACATCCATCCCTGCCAGCACCAGGAGCTTCCTTGTACTTAGCACCTCTGCCTTCAGGAAGCACGTCCTGGTGCAGAGCTCTAGCAGTCATAAAGGTGAGAGCTCTTTGTGTGCTCTGCCACGACACGGATGAAACCATTCCTGCAGGCAGCCAACATCCTGAAGCCATGGCAGAAATAAGCCCAAACTCAGCCCTATGTGACTCAGAAGCCCTCCCTGTATGGACCTACAAAGCACACAGCAGGCCGTCACGGGGATCCTTTCCATTCTGCAGCACACAGTCAGCTTCCCAGCAGTGTGAGTGGCAGCTGCAGTTCTGCAGGGCTCTATCTCCCCATCTGCCCCACTCAATCAGTGGGGCACAGCTCACTGCCAGCACTGCAGCTCCCTGGAGCTGTCTGCTCCTCCTGCTGTAAGCTGCAGGCTTTATCAGCTCACAGCCAGCTCCTCTAGCAGCAGGCTGAAGGCTGCAGGGTGCTGTGGGTCACATCTGCCTCCCAGCTGCTAAACGCCTCTCCTGACCTCTCAGTCCCTCCTTCAGGTCTTCCAGATTAGAAGGCAAAAGCTTGCAGAAAAGAGACAGAAAAGGAAGAGATAACTAAGCAAACAGGCAGCACAGAGCTGTCCTGCATCAGCCCATGGTGGGATGCCCCACTGACAGCATTGCACGACACAGCAGCGCCTGTACTGAGTCAGGAGCAGCCTTGACACGCTCAGAACCTTCTGCTTTTCCATTTCTCCTGCTCTTGTTCTCTCCCTGCATCACTTGATGAACTACACCAGTGCACTGCCTTTCCTCCCAACCCATTCCCCAAACATTTTTCCTTCTGCTTCTTCCACCTGCCCGGATTTGTTTCACTTCTCCTCCTTCCTGACCAACTCATCCCATTCCACCACTTCCCAATAAGACCACAGCTGCACAGCACTGACCGCAGCCACACTGCTTACACTCAGCCCTGCCTGCAAGGCTCAGTGCCAGAGCTGGACTAACAGGGAAGCCCAACGTGTCGGCCTGACGGCACGACACAGGAGACACTCCTGGCCTAAAATACACTCTTTACAGGTTAGTGTCCATCCAGAGCTGCATGGCTGCATGCTGGTAGCACACACTGCCTCTTATCTATCCCTCACTCCCCATCTGCAGCTGAGCCACTGCAGCTCTTTGCCACCAGCAGGAGAGCAGAGGGCAGGGAGTGGGCTGCAACCCGTGCACGCTCATCTAGAACACGCTTCAGCTAACTATTTGAGGAGTAAGGTATCTGTGTAAGCAAATTCTACCTTAAAAAAGCAATTGTAAAGGAAGGGAGCTGCAAACAAAGGCTGAAAGCTAGTGTTAACTTCAAAGCTTGACAGAGATGGGAGAAAAGCACCTGGCAGCACAAGGACAGATCCTAATCTCCCCTCTCAGGACAATTCCCCTACCTCCAGCTTTGGGTTTTCTGCAGGCAGAACGCCTTGTACCCAATTACATGTCTTTATCCAGGGCAAGACTGACAGCAATTCCACGGTGGCTAAAGCCAACGAATCCAGGCATCCTCTGGCAGCTAGGAAAGGAAGATCAAAGCCAAGCCCCATGACAGGTAAATTAGGATGGCAGCTCTCATAGCTGCTTGACTTCATGTAGCACAGAGACTACAGGTCCCACGTCCTGCCATGGGGTGGGGAGGACCAGCCCAACTGCTGGGGGCTGAGCTCTGCACATCACTGAGACCCTTCTGCCACGGTCTGGGCAGGAGAAAGCTAAACGAAGGCAGCAAGCAGGCAGAGAGAGCACATGAAATGTGTCTGCTGCCATAAAAACCAGAGCAGTTTTACACCACGAGGCTCAGAAATACTCATTTTTGAAGACAGGGATGCTGATTTCCTCAGGTTTGCACCCTGAGCCGTGGCTGTGCTGAACTGCAGCATCGTCGCTCAGCTAGCTATTAATTAGGGCTCGTGTCAGCGCTTCCATTACAAACCTCTGCCTTTTAGGGGTTTATAACTCAGCCATAAAACTTTGCTCTAGGCTGAAATTTATCATGAAAGGGTCCGCCTGGAAGGAATCCATTCTTTTCTATTTTAGAGTCCCAAAAGCTTACGGCCACAAAACAGGGATTTTACTCTGAGGACCGGCGCACAAAAGAAGCCCTTTAGCTGTTTTTTTACAGGAGCACTGGGTGAGATGTGCCTCCTGGACCGGCTCCGAGACGCCTCCTGGTTGGGGTGGGGGTTTTATATGCTGAATGTTGTAAATTTTAGGAATTATAAGGTTTTATGCTCCAGGGCCAAAGTCGGTGCTTACCTAATCACCAGTGAATCCCTCTGCCCCACCGGAGCGTGACTCGGTTCAGGTTTCCCACCATTCCCTCCCCATTTCCTCCATTGAGCCACTTGGGGGAAGCAAGACTTAATTCCCACCCAACACTCCATTAAGCAGGGATGGATCTGTCTCTCCAGGCACACAGGTATGACCTTCACACACTGCTGCTGCCTGCAGAACAGCCCACGTCGTGCTCACGTGGGGACGTATCAGTGCATCTAACTGGCAGAGGCCATTGGTCCTTCAGCTCCTCGCTGCCCACCTTTGCTCTGATGGGAGCAGAATGGAGGCAGAACCCAGCACTGCATTTGATGGAGCTGGGAGTCACCTCTGATACTCTCTCATCCCATCTCTGATGCCTACATCAGCCACAATGCTGAGAGCAATGTCCTTCGGAGGTGGTTAAACAGTGTCTTCCATTGGCTTACACATGCTGCACCAGCATCAGTTGTACTAATATTTTCCTACTGGTTTTTAACCTGCAACTGAACAAGAAGTTGACACAAAGCACCAGAAACTACTTGCAGCACAAAGAGAAGTCCTCGGTGCCTCTTGCCCCAAAATACTACCTTTGGTGTTGTACTGCTTCAAGCCTTTTGTGCAAAGCATCACTTTTGCAAACAAGACACATATTCCCATGCCAGTAAGGACACACATATGCCTGGGCCACCTCAATCTCACGTTCCTCCAAAAAGGGGCTACAGCAAACACACATCAAAAACAGCACTGGGCTGTTTTTTGATATGGACAGAGATGGCCATGCTTTGTGCAGTGCACCCCAGGGTGCCATTGGCCTTCTTGGCCAGCAGGGCTCCCTGTTGGTTCACGGTCAACCGTTGGTCAACTGTTGGTCAACCAAGACACCATTGGCCTTCTTGACCACCAGGGCTCACCGAGGGCTCATGGTCAACAGTTTGTCAACTGTTTTAGTCAACCACTGGTCAACTGTTGGTCAACCAGGATTCCAACAGCCCTCCTGGTCAGGAAGACTCACTGAGGGCTCATGGTCAACTGCTGGTCAATCAAAGCCAATCATTTCTCTTTTCAAAAGAGATTGTTTTCCCCCCAAGAGAACTTTCCCCACAGCAAAAGAATAGAAAGAAGGATATTTGGGAAGGGGAGAAAGAGAAAGAAGGAAGAAAAACCCCACAGGACCGACAAACAGAAACGTTCATTTACATCTAACAGCATCCATATGCCAGTAACATACCATAAATGCTTAGCCTACCATACAAAGAGGGTGCCCCAAAATGGTACCTGCAAGAGGTCTCTCGGAAGGAGATGTTTAAATCCCAGTGGGTGTGTATCCTGTCAACAAACAAATAAACAGAGATCAATGGCACATGCTGAACAAGGCATCCTTTGCCATCACGACCCACCCTCTCCCCAGCTCTGCAGGCACAGTCAAAGCCCACGTATCCTATGGGCCCCACTGTGCTGGCAGTGAGACTCACAGCAGGGTGAAGGAGCCCCACTGCTGCTGCAGGCTTCCCAACACGCCCAAGGGCTGCAAGGTGTTGTCTCAACTGATGCAGGAAGGGCTAAGCACTGCCATTTTAAGAAGAAAACCCAAATATCTCTGCACTGTACTCCCTCCTTCACGCCTGCACCGGCTGTAAATAAATTATTAGCAATTTCCCACCTCGGAAATTAATTTCCCATACTCTGTCACTCTGCCTGCTGACAAGCAGGAACAGCAGATTCGAGATGAATAACATCCTCAATCGAGGCAGGGCAGCCACGGGTTGTGCTGGCTCTTTCCCCCCCTTCCCCCCCCCTTTTCTCCTCTTTCCAACCTGGCAGCATCCACGCCGGCCCAGGGGGCTCAGGCAGATGCCTGACCTGTGCTCTGCTATCTTGGCATGCTACTGGGAGCACTGCTCCCCTGCCACCCCCAGCAGGGCCCTGACCCCCGCTGTCCCTCCCCGTCAGGGTGATTGATGAGCAGCCCCATAGGAAAAGCAGCAGCGTGAGCAGAGGGCAGCAGAACGAGCCTCATGCAAGCCTGCCTGATTTGAATGTGCTCTGAATTGGGCCAGCAAGCACTTCAGCATGAGCAGCGAAGTCAATGGGACTTAACCACTGCTCAGAAATCAGCTGAGAACAGTGCTTGGCACGGAAATAATTGCATATCCAAGGCTGCGAGTCTCCTCAACTCGAGCCTGCCTTTGTGCTCACCCATAGAGCAGCTCAGAAAGGAGTCCTGCTGATCTCTGAGCCGTTCTTACAGGGGTGAGTACTTCTTTTAGGGCACTGTTCGATTTTATTAGATATTCAGCTCCACCGATAAAGCTGTGCTCAGAACTGTATTTATCAGTTCCACGTGTACCTATAGGCTTCACTATTCAGACACAGTGCTTCAGAAACCCACCCTGGCTTTCTGCCTCTCCAGCTTTTCATCTGCAAACAGAAACAGAACCCAAAGCTCAAAGCAAATTCAAGCTTCTCGTGGTTCTTACGGCCCAGGAGCACCAACCCTGCCTGCACAACAGTGCTGTCAGTGGGGCTGATTTTGCTCTGCTCCCTGGATGACAGTGCACAAAACTGCCTGGAAATGGAGCCAAGGGATCGTGCCCCTCCTTTTCTGTCTATTAAACATTGCTTGGGGCCCTCCAAAATGAATAAATAAATGAAGGAACAACCATCCTCGATGAGCCTGAGCACCAGCCAACTTCAGAGTGTAAGAACACTGCTTGGGAGTGCTGTAAGCAAGGGAGGGAAAGCCTCAGATCTGCACAGGGGCAGCTATCAGCTGAGACGGATAATTAAACACCCATATTTAGACAAATGAATAGGTGAGAATGAAATTAAATCCTAATTATCTTTTCTTTCGGGGGGGAGGGGGAGTGGAGGAGAGGAACAGGGAGCAGAACCAAGCACTCCTTCCACGTCTCTACGCCGTTATCACCAATTAGATTTCTGAGCCTAATGCACATTTTGCTTTAACGGGTTATTCATCCAACTGAAATCAAATTACTAATAATTTGCAAGCTATCAGCTGCAGGAGCCCATCCTTGGGTTGTATGGGGAACGGTGAGCGAGAGACAGTTCCTCATGAATTAATAACAGAAAAGAGAGGGGAAAAAATGAATACCAGCCCCACATCATGGCTAACGCTGTCTTCTACCTCCTCACCCACCCGGGATCTCTGACACGGGGTGATGTGTTGCAAACCTCAGTGCAGCAGCCCAGGGCCCCACATGGGAGCTGCGCATGGGCTCCCCAGCTGCTTGTGGGTCAGCATCTGAGCGAGGAGGTGTCAGGGCTGGGTCCGTGCAGAGGGTGAAGTCACTCCTACATGCATGCAAAACAACCCCAAAGGGATGATGTAACAGGAAGGGCTGAGGCTACTCGAGGCATCCCTGGGAGCCCGCGCCGGATTGCGAATCCAGCCCAGGAAAGAAAGCGACAGAGCTGGCAAAATAAGGGAGCGCAGCTGGGATAGTTTGTAATTTTCAAGTTTTTTTTGTTGTTTTTTTTTGTTTTTCTTCCTTCCCCATCGTTCCCTTGGACCCCAGAGGACCCTGCAAGCTTTTTTGGCAGTGGTGAGGCCAAAGGAGTGAGCCGTCCTGCTGCTGAGCCCCTGCCCGAGGCCGGCCTGCTCCCAGGGCCACGTGGCGAGCGCTGTGCAGCCACATCCCACCTCTCCTCTGCAGCTGTCCTTTCCTCCTCCCCTTTGCTCCAGGGCCAGCTCTGTGCTGGATGGAGTCTATCTGCATCATTCTGTTTTACAGCACAACCTGGGGCTCTCTGCATAGAAGAGCAACCTCAAGATTCCAGCAAGACTGAGACCTGGGGTTGGGACGTCTTGGGGTTGGGATGTCTTGGCTATGCCAAGTGATGGAAGTGATGCTGTGCAGTGGGCACTACTGATGGGGGTGGGTTGAGGTTGGACTTGATGATCTTAGAGGCCTTCTCCATCCTTAATGGCCATGCTGCAAGGAACTACAGGCAGCAACCAGGAGCACTCATGGCTCAGAATTTTGTTTGCTCCCCATCTCACACCTCAGCTCCCCTCCAGTTTCCCATCTCCTCAGGCAAGAAGGGACTTCTTCCCATTTCTTACTTTTTGTCCCATAACATCCCTGAGAATAAGGAGCCATTTTCCTTCTCTTCCTCCACAAATATATGGCCTCATTAGGACCACGACACAATTTCTGGTGCTCTGGACCAAGCCCAGTCCTCGCTTCCCAGATGGATCTTTAATTGAATATGGTGGCTGTTATTAAGTGGTGCACGGTTCAGAGAGAAAGAAGGGAGGGGAAGGGAAAGGGAAAAGCAAATGATGAGCTGCGGAGGAAGGAAGAAGGGGCTGCCTCTGCCAATTAACAGAAAATAGCCAGTGGAAGCTGTGAAAGAAACGTGTCCTAACAGCATCTCAGGAGGAGGTCAAGTGAGAGGACAGCAGAAGCAGTTCTGCATTTATCCCATGTCAACCAGAAGGTACTGGGACCTCACAGCCCTGAAGCACAAAGAGAAGCACAAGGGCCACTCAATAACTTTCAGAGCCAGACAGAAAACCTCATCAAGCACTGGGACAGCCAGAGCCAGAATGGCAACGCCGTGCTGCGTGCAGCCAGGCTGTAAGAGAGCAACATTTCTGGAGCCAGCAGTCTGAGCGAAAGAAAAAGGCTATTCCTCAGTAGCACTGCCCCAATAATCCTCAGAGCTTCTTCCCTGAGTGCTTACAGTCTGGGTATCAAGCTATGGTATCAGGCTCAGCAGATGCCTCTGGTTATATGAGACAAGATTTTAAGCCCTCTGTTTTCCAGACAGGCGGCATAACACCACGGCTGCTTAACACACCCTGCAAAGCAGGCTAAGGAGGACTCAGAGGGTCTCACTACAAGATGAGAAACACTCACCTTTAAGCCTGGGTCACCTGGATTTCTAAGCAGATGAGCCAAGCTCCTTACGGTGCAAGATTCGGCTCCCTCGGCTTTATCACACATGTGCAAAGCAGCAAAGTGACACAGTTTTGCAAGGACTTGCTGGGAAATAAGCTGGCGTGCAGTGAAATGCATCAGCTACAGGCACAGATAGCAGCTCTCTGCTCCTTCCTAGGATGGGGCCCTGAGCACATGACGGAGCTGTGGGTGTCCCCATTCTCTTGCAGGGCAGTGGGACCAGATGGCCTTTCATGGTCCATTCCAACTCATTCTGTGATTCTGTGGTAACAGAACACCCTAAGGCAGCTTCCTCAGTGCTTAGACCTCCTCTGAAGGCCACTGCCATAGGCAAAAGCCTGAGAGTCCATATGAGGGAGGCTAGAATGAGGGATGAACCACCAAACTAAGCTCCTGGCCCCTCTTCCCACCCCTTGGAGCAGCACACAGCATCCCCTCTTACCACAGAGAGAGCCAACAGAAAGAAAACAGAGAAAAGGGGAAAAAAACAAAGGCAATGATGTCCAAAGCAAAGATGCAGCTGTTGTACGAGCAAATGCACACAGGGGTGCACAGGGCCACTGGGGTATGGGACAATCACACAGCTCTGCTCGGGCTCCAACCCAGTCCTCCTGCTATCACAGTTTAACCTATTTCTCCCTCTCGGTGGGAGGCAATAAAGCCACAGCCCAATCCATAGCAGCCAGGGAGCACACAACAGGTGAATTAGGGGCAGCAGCAGATGGGGGGCTGGCTGTGCAGGCCCAGCTGGCGTGTCTACACACTGTCTGCACCACTGCTGCTTGCTGGGGCCAGCATGAGACCTTCCAGGCAATGCACTGGCAGCCACTGAATGAGAAAACCCAGCTCCTTCATTTGGCAGAATTAAAAGCATAGTGAAAAGGGGGGTGCTGCCCCAAACCTGGGCAGGAGGGCTCCCTCTGCACCTTCTCCCCCCATGCGCATGCACAGGGCAGACACATCCCCAAACACCTCTTATTTCCCAGTGAGAACCCCCAGCACTGCTGTCATTGATCACCCAGACTTTAATTACAGGTGGGCTTTATGAGAAGTGCTGGCTGTTCGGTCTCCCTGCTTCCAAGCTGAATGTACTGGCATCTGCTGGAAGCCAAGGGGGGAAACAGCTCATCTCCTCGGGAGTGAGAAGCACATAAAACATAAGAAAAGCAATTACATGCCTTCGGTTTCCACTCCTCTGTTTTTATAGGGCTTGTCTTAGGATCTGAGTGATTTTATGCATCGGAGAAAGATGACAATCAAGATGAGTTGCAATGATATGCATGGGAGGCTGAGACACTGTGCCTTTAGCTATTTATTCCCCTGCAGCTACAGGTCCTCTAAACATCGTATTTCTTCTGAGGGATGAGGGAACCCCAGATTTTGCAGCTGAATATTACTGGCACTAAGACTTTACATGGGAGCTCAAGTGAGAGTCACCAGAACGTAACCCAGAGCAATCCCTTCTCCTCCCCCTGTAAGGGGAATGTATGGGGTACTGAGCAAGATGCAGCATCAAAATCTCAGTGTTGAGGTGTCTGACTGCCTGCTGCAACTCCACCAAACCCCATTTTGTGCTATAGAGACACTCCTGTGACCAGGAGATGCATTCTAACACTCGTCACTGAGAACATGTAACATCCATCATTGCTGCTACCTCCAGCCAAAGCTTTGCTCACCAACAGTAAGCCACCCTGTTTCTATTGCATCAAAATTTCTGGGCAAATGAGAGCAAAAGACAGCACTTATGACCCATTCACTGCTGTGCATTTTCCATACGGCTCCTTGATCATGCAATTAATTGGCTCCCCAGGCACAAAGACACAAAACTCTGGAGAGAGCATGCAACAAAGAACAGTCTGCAAATGCAGATGCCTTCAGTGCAAACACAAGGCCCATGATGCACGGCCCCCAGGAGCCCTAGAGCCCCAACCAGGAGCGAGCAACCACAAGAGAAGATCCCACTGCTCCTTCTGAACTCCAATGGGACACAACATTTGAATTTCAAGGCCTGGAGGTGACTCCACTGGGCAGCCCACACAGCTGCCCAGTGCCTTTGCCGTTGCAATGCCAACAAGATGCAGGAAAGTACCTTCTTTTCATGATATTGATATGGAGATCCTCTTCCTGCTTCACTTCGGGGTGCTGACCATTGCCCTTGTCACTCTCTTCGCTGTCGTCACTATGCGAGAAAATGGAGGTCAGCTCTTTCTTGGGGATCCTGGTTGGGGGCAGGGGGATCGTCCTCTTCTCTGCCAGGCGACCCCGGTTCTGGCACAGGGCAGAAACAGTTGGAACAGGAAACAGAGGGAGAGAAAAAGAAGAAAAAGAAGGATTTGGTTAGGCAGGGATTTGGTTAGGCAACCCGTCACTAAGAAGCTCCTCTCCAATGGTCGCACTGGAAGGCAAGGAGTTAGATTCCAGATTCCAAACGGGTACAGAGGGTGCTGCCTATTTGCAAAAGCAGAGACACATCCACACTCTGCTCTTCCAGCTCCAGCATTCGACCACGCAGTTCCAGCCTCTCCCCACCTCTTCGCCCCTACACTGGGTCTCAGCCACGCCAATAGGAAAGGAAGGTAGATGGGAGCACAGTAAGGCTCCAGCCTCTCCCTCTGGAATATTTCCTACCAAATGTTGCCAACTATCACAGCACAGCAGGCGAAATGGGCCATGGCACAGCAAAGACATGACCCCAGTCATCTATAATGCATTCGCAAGCCAGGTTTGTCTCCCGTACGGCGCACAGTTGGCGAGGACAAATCTTAAGAGAAGCAGCATGTTTTTAGCAAGGATTGGAACAACATGAAGAAAGATGTGTGAAAAGGGTCAAACAAATGCAACGCTGACCTCCCAGCCCAACCTGGTGAGACGGGAACATGCTGGGAGCGCCAGGCAGGCTCTGCAGGGAGAGCAGAGCAAGGCTCAGCCATGTGTTTTGCATTAAGCAAGTGAGGAACTTTCCATGAAGACAAAATGCAAGCTTCTTGTTTACCTCCGTCAATAAATTTCCACTTGCAGTCATTAAGGGGGAGCCCTAATTGCGGTGATAATTAGCTAAATCCATCTGGAAGGCATCACCCCAAGGAGGCTCATAAGCCGTCCCATCCTGGTGCACTTCCAAGCTGCATGCAAGCTGCAGGAACCCAGCAAGAGGGGAGCTGAGCTGGCTTAGGAATGGGAAAACTCACACATAGGAGGAAAAAGGCAACGCCAGGAGGAGAGGGCACTGCTGCCACCAGACCTCAGCCCAGGCTGGGGTGTGATGCTTATCTCTGAAGTTGCAATTCATCTTAACAAAGTGGGGGGGAGGGAGGGGGTGCAAATCCCGGCATCAAAGTAATTGCCATCAGCTCTCTGCTGTGACTTCACAGGCTGAAGAGAATAGCACTGATCGGATACTACAAATCCTTTTATGGCCATTATGGTGCCTCCAAGCAGTTACCAGGCCTCAGTGGCTACCCAGGGACTCATCAACCCTAATGAGAGCACGAGTGCAGCAAGAGGGGAGGTGTGAAAGCAGGACATGCAGCCCCCCTGAGCTGCAGCACCCTCCTCCAGATGCTCATCCTTCTCCTTTCTGAAATCCCTCCCCTTCAATGCAGCAAACACACACAGCCCAGTGTAGAAATACACATACATATGCATACATCACACAGGCATTCCTGCATTCAGCATACAAACACACACCTGTGCAGGTATCACCCCACACCCAAATGCTCCCCTCGAGCACAAACACACAAGCAGATGGATAACACAGCAGCCCCATGCCCTTGCAGCCATGTGCACCCCAGCTCCCCAGATGCATTTTTCAAAGCTGCCTTTATTCTTGCCATGAAATGGGGGCTATTCCATTTTACTTTCTACGTTCCCAGAAAATGACAACGGATGGAAGCAGCCCATTTTGCTTCTTAGGTTCACCTCCAGTGAATCAGCTGTGCTTTGGAGGCACCCAGCAGCAGGTCTGCACGCCTGCTTCGTGCTGCTGGAGCATCCTTATCTGCCATTTCATCTCAAAAGCACAAGGATGTAAAATCAGTAAAGACACGAAGGAAAACAGGACCTTATGAACCCACAGCACTCACCGTGAGGTGTAATTTGTTCTGTCAGCGCTGCATTGCTCGGCCTGCCCTGCATCTCATCACCCCAACCCCTTTTAATGACCCCCCCCCCATAAACTATCAGTTATTCATACAGCTTTGAGAGCTCGCTGGGGGCTTCCCAAGCTGTTAGAACTGCCAGAATTCCCATTCCCAGCTTGCCTGGGCCCTGCCAGCCCACCAGCCAGATCCTTGTGGGAGCAGAGCAAGGAGATGAGCAGGCACCATCCCCACTGGGATGCTCCATCAGCATCCCAACCCCAACGCATGGAGATGCCGTGATTCAACCCTCTGCAACCATCCTTTCTATTGGATTAAAAATAACCCAAACAACAACAAACCACCAAAACAACACAACTGCAGAAACAACAGCATGTGCAATCCTTTGGTTGGTCTGGGAGACACAGGGAGCAGGAGGGGGGGGGGTAGGAGGGAGGTTGGTGTGCTGCCAATGCTGGGAGCTGAGGAATGCTAAATCTGTTCCATATGTGAAGGAAATCCTCAAGCCCAGACAGCATTTTCTCTCTCTCTCTTTTTTTTAATTGATAATAAAGATATGGAAAAGGAAAGGGGGAGGCTCTGAGAGCCTGGAATCTTTTTCAAACAGCAACCCAGCCAAATGGCTTTGATTAGGGAAATTACACACCCACGGAGCCCACACAGCCCTCGTTGGAGAAATGGCATCGATCACATTTAGCTCTGGCTGAGACGAGCAAAAACACACAAGAAAGGGGCAGGTACCTGCCCAGCTAATCCCCTCCCCTGGGCCTTCATTAGGAACCTGTAGCCATCATCCTAAAGGCTACATCCCATGGGTTGGTGGCATCCTACAGGCATCCCATGGGCTGACAGCATCCATTGGGCCAATGGCTTCCCATGGGTTGGTGGCATCCTATAAGCATATGGCACCCCATGGGCTGATGACATCCCATGAGTTGATGGCTTCCCATGGGTTGATGGCATCCTACAGGTGCATGGCATCCCATGGGCTGATGAGACCCCACCTTTGCTGTTCCCCATCTCATACACATGAGGAGGACCAAAATCCAGGCCAGCCTTGGTTTCCAATCTCCTGAAGAAGACATTAGAAAACCTTGATTCTACTTCCTCTCCTTTTCGCTCAGCCACCATTTGCAGTGCAATATTTACACTGCTCAGCAGCCAAAAAGACAAGCAACCACCAGGCCATCATTCCCCAACAGTCAACCCCACCCTACAACTTTGCAGAGGAGAGATCTGTTGTTCAGACAGACACTTATCAATCTGGGCAGAGCACTCCTTTATACGTGGTTGTTTTTAATAGGTGAAAGTACACTCCTACTTTCTTCCTGGAGTATTTTCTTCACATGCAAGCCTGGTGGTAGCCTCTGTTAGTCATCCATGTAGGTCATGGTGGCCCTTGCATTGATTTCAGGATAGCTGACCCAGCTCTGATGTCTGGGAGGCAGAGCAATGCTGGGCAATCACTGCATGGTGTCGCTCCATCCAACCACCTGTGTTCTGCAATGCACAGCTCTGCTTCCCCTCCCAGGAAGACCCACTCCCATTGCTTGTCTCAAACGAGGCAGGATCTCCACAACCCCCATCAGAGGATCGTTCAGAATAATCCATTTCCATTCAGCAATTTGAAATAACTTGCTGAGATTGTGCTCTGATTGTCCTTTAGAGCCTCGAGTTAAAGAAGTGCCATTACCTCGTTACCTGATGGGATCCCATTACCAGCCAGCACTCAGCACCAGGCTCAGCCCTACCAATCCCAGTCCTCCCCACCTGCATGGGATGTGTTCTGACATGGTAGAGCATGAGGAATCCTTCTCCTGAGAGCAACAGGAGGTTCCCATTGCAACACCTTCCTGGAGACAGACAGCGAACCAGAGGGATGCACACCGGAGGTTCAGTGAGGGTGTGCTTTGTGAAACACATCTCCTCCACCAAAGAGCAACTAATTGATGAAAACTCTGAATTCCCAAAGAAGTCCTCAGGGCACCAAGATGTTTCAGGCACAAATACCCAAGTGAGAAGGCAAACGTCCACTTCTTCACCAGCATAACAGCAGCCCACTGCAGTACAAACATCTCCCTGCCCTCCAGGGCTGCAGGCACCACCAGCAGCCATCCCACTGCTCCAAGCTACCACTTCCAGACACGAGCTGGGAGTCTCTTTGCCTTAAATCCTTTCACCATTCAGGGCTGCCAGCACCCTGCTCTACACAAAGCCATCAATTCCAGTCCAGACACTCCATGACCATTTTCAGGGTATCCTACAGAATGATGTTTTAGAGTTTTAGTCTATTCTTATTGAGAGTGGGAAAGGATGTCAGAGAAGACTGCTCTCGACCACTGTGATCCAAAGCAACCCAATGACATCATGCTCAGCATCCTGCTCCAAGGGGCCACCAGGATGCCTTCTGCCCCTTGTATTGCTTACACTGTAAGCGTTGGGGACACAGAAGGATGCCTTGGTCACACACACAACAGGGCTGTAGGTACTATTATGGCTGCAGAAAAAACGTGCTTTAAACCAAAAGGAAGTTACAGAGAAGGGAAGCTCTTCCCATCGATATTAACAACATTATTTCCCGAAGCCCTAAAGAAGCAGATGAACAAGATCTGTGAGCAGAAGGGAGTGTTTCCCATTTATTACCTCTGAGTGAGTTATAAAGCCTCAAGGATGATTTGTTAATAGACTCAGAGCTACGCTCTTCTGGAAAAGCCAAGTGGAACTCACAGCCTTTGAAAGGAAATAGTCCAGGATAGAGAATCTATCAGCCCTTTGGAGCTACCCACTGTCAAATCCTCTTTGGAAGAGGCCTGAGGAGCGCTGTGCTCTTTGTTTTCTGTGCCTGTCCCACATCAAACAACTCTGTCCATTTCAGTCTGAGGTTGCAAAGAAGGAAGCGGAGATTTGAAGCCAGGTCCTCAGGCAATGTAAGTCAGTATTAAGGGAGTAGCAGCCAACTGACACCAACTGAGGACGTGGTACACCAATGCTGTCTCCTAAACAAAAGCAAACTCGGGCATTTTCCCCTTTGGTTCTTTCCTTCCTCACTCTTCCACTCTGGTGAAGACAAGGAGCAAAAGGGCACGGATGCATTCAGACACTCCTGGCACCTCCCTGCTCTGTTGCTGGGCTGGAGAAGGATGAGAGAACAAAACCATGTCCACCATTCCC